TTTTGAAGATCACATTTTTGGAAAATTGGGATTTTTTTCCCCACCTTTGCTGTTTGCGTTTCCACAGTTCATCTTGTTTGACAAGCATATTTTACAGCTTCTGATTATTTAAAGTAATTTCTTTATTTGCATTTTTATTGCACTTCTAATGAAAACCAGAAGTGAAAAAGCCAATTTTTCTAAAAAATAAAAAATCAATAGGTGATTTAAAAAAAAAAAATCCAATTAATCAATTGTAAACTAAAATAATTGTTAAAGCCTTAATCAGAAAACAACTAGGTTTCCTGATTTTGTGTGGAAGTGATTATAGAGATTGATTTAATTTAAGCCTGATTATTGTCAGAATTAAGGATTTTAAACAATCCAAGTCAATAAACTCGTAAAATATGTAACATTGGACTAAAAATAGATGGAAAATTTTAGCAAATTGAGTCATTAAAAGTATGGAATATAAAATGTTTAGGACCATGTTTTTTGAATGATAAGCACAGGAAGTGTACTTTTGAACAGGCAGGTGTGTTGAACAGCTTTTGGAGCAGGTAGGTTGGCGAAGTCGGGTCCTTGAGTTGAAATGAGGTCAGATAATTTTGTTGTAACCACATAAGCAGAAAAGTTTGGTGTTTCTGGAAGTTGGATATTTTTGATTAATTACAGGAAAGTACTTATTAAAAAGCAGAAATGTTGTGTATACCTAATAAAATGTCTTTGGTAACTTACAAATCGATTAAACCTGCTGAAATACAAAAGGTTTAACTGTAAAGCTGAAGATAAGCCGATTGTCTATAAGGTAAATAATGTTTTAAGAGTCAAAAAAATGATCAAATTCCCAACAACGACTGAACTGATTAAACTTTAAGTCCTTATTAGAGTGAAATGTTTTGCTTGTTTAAAATATCTAGCACAGAAAAAGTAAAGAAGAAAAATCTCTAAAAAATGTTTCTAAAATAAAACCCAAACTTTAAGAAATGCAACAGTTTTTAAAATTTATTATATACAAAACAAAAAGCCTTTTTTATGATAAATCTTAGATTTCAGTTTGTTTCCATACTGAATAAAAACCTCACTAATCAGTAAATAATTGTTCATAACAGGAAAACAAGCAGTCAAAATAAAACCACATCTGTGAAAACCTCCGCTGGATAAATAAGTTTAACAGCTTTTAACCAGGAATAATTTGATATATTTTTATATTCATGTCTGCCTCGCCAGCGTTTCAAAGAGAACAATCCCATTTCCACCATTTGTTGGTTTCTTGTGAAGAATCTGCGTGGTTTGCAATTCTGCATCTTCTTCCCAGTCTGACCTCTGAGCGATTCAAGATGTTTTGAGAGGTGAACCTGATTAAAGTTATAATCTGTGACCGGTGTAGTGAACAGATGCACGGCTCTAACTAATATCCCGGACCCGGTGGATGGTGGCGCCGCCTCGCTGCCTGCTTTTGGCGGATCCGCGGCCTGGTTCTGCCAGTTTGGAAAAGGATGAGGAGGTTTGAGTTTGTTCGTGTTCTCAGCAGGGGGTTCCTCTGATTCAGAGTTTCCTCTAATCAGGAACAATAATTTGGCTTCGTCAGTGTGGCACCATTCACTTTCAGTACAATTGGAGGCTCTCCACTCGCTAATTAGGCTAATTTTTTAGTTGCCATTATGCAAATGTTTTGGACATCAAATCACAGAAGTTTTTTTTTTTTTTTGCAGAATTTTCTTTTTTTGCTTCAGGTTTTCTGATTTAAAGCTTCAATCTTTTTTGGGAGATTTGATCTGAGAAGTAATTTTGTGGATCGTGGAAGAGGCTCGGCATCTTATTCCTCCGGCGCTTTAAACCCGTTCATCTCACTGCGCTGCCCTGAGTCACAGCAGCTTTTGCACCATATTGCTCCTCTGCTGCTTCCATGAGAGGCAAACTGGGGGCATTTGTCAGATAATCATTTCAAAGTCAATCCTGGGGTCAGTAATCCTGCATGTTAAGAAGGTCAAGTGGGTTTTGTAGGAAAATGAAAATGTAAGTATGTTTGAATGGAAAATTGTTGAGTTATGCTTACAGAGTTCCATATACAAGAATATTATTGGAAAGTTTAGTGGAAGGAAAAACGGTGCATGTAGATTTTCTATGGAGAAAAAGAACAAAGACTCCAAAGTCCTAATCTCAGGTGAAAGTAAAGTTTCCATTTCATTTGAAAATTAAGGTCAATTGGTGATAATTCAGGGTGCCATGTGATCTACTAGTGTGGTTCGCTTTTACACTGCACTCTGCAAACTGTTCCTCTCCTCACCTGTGGTGGCGCTGCAGGCACTGAAGGAAAAACATGGAAACATGTTGAGCGTAACTTTCTTCAAACAGAAATCAGATTTTAGTGATAGCAGGTTTTCTCTTTTGACTGTGGCCAGTTCTCCCATCAGCACTAGACTCACGTTTGTTTTGGTTGCATTTACCCAGAATGCAATGCTGTATCGTCCGGTTCATTCGTGGGGGTGTAACTCTGATGTGCACTCCGGTCCACCTACAAACCTCGGTCTTGGTTCAGTTGAAGTGACTCCGCTTCGACTGCATCTATGTATGTGCATGGGAACCGAACCAGAAGCAGGAAGTGGACTGCAGCGCGAGGCATTCTGGGTAAATGTAAAAGAAACAAAGGCTTGAGTCTGGAGCTAAATGAGAGATGGCTTTTTTTTTTTTTTTTTGCCAAAGACTAAAGAGAAGCAACCACTAAATGCTAAATATTTTTGCTAACTGATTGAGTGTTGCCTTCAGAAATCTCAGTTGACCATCCCAAAGTCCTAACCCTAAACCCTAAACCCTAACCCCTAACCCTAAAACTTAACGCTAACCCTAAAACTTAACGCTAACCCTTTGTCCTGAAAGCTTTATTGAGAGGCTGGTTTCATTTCCAGCAGGACTTGGTTCTGGCCCACATTGCCAAAGGAACCAACACCTGTATAACTGGACGACCTCAAATGTCAAGAAAATGAGACGTTCTCGGCAACTTAATAATTATAATCCCTTTTAAAAAAGTACTTTTCAACTACTTTCAAATTTATTAAGATTTGTAAATATCTGCAGGGTTTGAGATGAAGCTAAAGCGTTTTTATGTGTAATTTTCTGATTTCTGCACAGGAACTGGTCTGATGCAGAGTGAGCGGCCTGTGGACGTCCAGGCCCCCGTCGAGGATCCTCAGCTGGTCAAGGAGCCAAAATCAGGAAAGAAGAGCAGCTGCAAACTCGCCGACGAGTCCGACAGCGACTTTGAGTCCGACCCTCCTTCTCCAAAAAGCAGTGAAGACGAAGAGCAGGAGGAAGAGGAGGCCTTGAACAGCGAGCACGGTGACGACACCGAGCCGGAGAATCTGGGTCAGAGGCCTCTACTGATGGACTCAGAGGAAGAGGAAGAGGAGGACAGACATAGCTCAGATTCGGACTGTGATGTCAGCAAGGTCAAAGGCCGCTCAAAGAAGCCAGCTGCCGCTAAAGTAGCCAATCCCAGCGTTTCCAGGGGTCCTGGAGGGCAGTCAAAGCAGAGTCTCATCACTCCAACAGTGTCTTCCGGCGGAGCAGAAGGTGTGGACGTGTTCGGTGCCGTTCCGTTCGTTGGCGGAGCTTCGCCCGTCGGGCCCGCAGAGGGCAACGATATCTTCACCAAAGCGCCTTTCCGGCAGGTCAGCCAGGAGGAGCCGGCTGCTGATGAGTTTGATGTTTTCACCAAAGCCCCGTTCAGCCGGAACGTGTCGAGGTCCGGAAGGAGCAGCAGCCAGACGCCGCCCCTATCCCCGGAAGGCACCGACGTCTTCGGCTTCTCTCCGTTCCAGCCGGGCCACACCGAGGCTCCTCCTACCTCCCGGAGCGCCGAAGACATCTTCCAGTCGCCATTCGAGGAGCGGCCGGGTCTCCAGCAGAGGCAGAAGCAGCGCAGCCTCCAGAAGTTGTCTTCCCGACAGAGAAAAACCAAGCAGGAGGCGACGGCAGGGGGCAGCAACGGCAAGCGGCACCACGGTACCCCAACTGGAGGACGCAAAACCAACAAGCCGAGCTACCGCACTCCAGAGAAGGTCCGCAGGCACAAGAAGGTGGGCCGCCGAGATTCTCAGAGCAGCAACGAGTTCCTGAGCACCTCCGACTCCAAGGAGAACATCAGCGTGGACATCAGTATGGCCGAAGGGAAGGACACCATGGCGCCTCTTCCGGTGGACGACGTTCTCCTAGACCCGTTTGGGGCCAAACCCTTCCACCCGCAGTACCCAGGCCTCGGCGACGGTAAACCCGACATGAGCACCGCCAACGGGGGAAGGATCATAGATGATTTCGGGGCGGTTCCCTTCACAGAACTGGTGATCCACAGCGGGACGCACCAGCCGGTGGTGGCGCCTGCGCAGCCGCTGGACCTGGACCCTTTTGGAGCGGCGCCGTTCCCCTCCAAGCAGTAACTCAACACGTCTTCCGCCAGTAGCCGTTAACCCACAGCTGTTTTTTTTTATTTTGGTTTGGGATCATTTCTAATCAGCCTGAATCCTGTGGAGTTTCTCTCTGCGCCTGCCTTCGATGCTGCATCTCAACGCTTTTAGGAACTGAGAGTTTGTACTGTGATTTGATGTTAATACTTGACTTTCTAGTCTGCCTTGTGATGAGTTTTAGCACCAAGAAGCCTTACCTGAGCTGGGCCCGACCCGCCGCACAGTACCTCGGTAAAAAAACCGCATCGTTTGACATATTTTGGGAGCAGCGTTAACCACTTTGTCCTTTTTAGGTTTTTAATCTATGCAGCCAGCGTGGGAGTGGGTGCATTTCACTAGAAGGGATTTTTTTGTATTTTATTGTACTTTACTAAAGAAAATAAAAACTTTTTTTTTTTTCATTTTTAGGCTCTTAACTGTTCTTTGTAGCAGAATAATCTCTGCTCAATTATTGGTTCTTTTCTTTTTTTTATTATGAATTCAAAATAAAAACACAAAGCTGCAGCCGGTCACTTGTGGAGGATTCGGTACCTGTGGACCATTTCTGATGAATTCAGACCAGTTTGTTGGATTTTATTGAACAGTTTATTAAACAAACATGTGAAGCACATTGTATTAAACAGCCTTAAAAACAAACGTAGCTACACAGCTTCTCCTTTCATAACCAAAATGGAACAAAAAGTCTCATTTACACAGATATAAAAGACAAATGTACAAACAGTACAGTTTAAGTCCATTAATAATTTAAAAACAGTATCAAATTTCATTCCAAAATGAGTTTGCTACCATTTAACTTATTAAATCACTTTAAGACTTTTGAAATTTTAAAGAAAAATATTTACTAAAAATGCCTGAATGAGTGTAGAGACTTATTCTTTTTCAGCTCTTCAATCGTCGCCTCCAAATTTGAGTGAGATTCCCATTTATTTACAGCTTGACCAATTGGTCTGGAGCACTTCTGTTTTCATGGAGAAAGCTTTTAATATTTAGTTATTTTTAAGGAATTCTCCCATTTTGTTTCCACTTCCTTTCATTTGCATTTAGTTAAAGGTTTTTGCTTCTATTTTATATGTTTGTAACAGCCAGTGTCTCGTGCGTTTGCGCTCTTTCCTCTCTAAAGATCTAATGGTTTGTTTTAAGGCAATAATCATAATTAGGAGACTAATATAACATATTCTTTACATATATATTTTTTTTGCTGAGGCCAAATTTGAAGTCTAAATCTAACCAAATGTTTTTGATAGATAAAACATTCATATAATGTACATAAAAGCTGGTTTAACATGTAGGTGCTGCATTTTGGAATGAAGTCATTTAAAATACTAAAACAGTAAAACATTGCACATCACCCTAAGGGAGCTAGAACATCATATTTTACAGTATCACATCTGGAAACACTGATTTTTTTGTCTCTTGTCTACTCCCCAATAAATCCTCACATATGAACCAAATAAAGGATTAAAACAATGAATATAAAAGGACAGAGAATGTGGTTTTAATACTGCCGCTTAAATTACTGCTGTGTCTCAGTAGTGACCTCCAGAGGCAGAGCTGCTCATTACTTCCTGCTAATATGAGCTGCAGAACAACAAGTCTTTGGGGTTTTAATTGCTTTAACATGCTCACTTTTTGCTTCTTGATATTGTTAAAAACATATCAAACTTACATCAGCAGATGTAAGTTTCCCCATTCAGAAACATTTGATGCTACATCATTTACAGGCACTTGGAGAACCAGGAAGTGCAGGAGCTTCCTGTTAATTTATTCCTGTTGGTGATTTTTATGATGCGTTCACGTCACCTCGCTTCCTGTGCTGCAACGCCGCTGGTCATCTGGCTCCTCATCACAAGTGAAATCCAAGCCACCGGGTCAAAGGTCGTTCCTAAAGGTCGAAAAAAAAAAAACAAGGGACGTTAAATCGGATCTTGGAAGCTGCAACATTTAATGTTTGTGTCCTGAACAGATGTACGGACTAAATAAAAAATAATTTATTCCTTCGGTTTCTCGTTGTAGAAACATAGATTTTCTATTAACTGATAAAAAAACTTATTTCACGACAGAAATTTGGCTAGAACTCTAAAGTAATGGTTTTATTTTTAGTTTTGTTTAAACAGCAATAACAAATTAAAATCAAAATCTTAAAAAACTGTTAGAGGGATATTTTAGATGATCTTAAAACTGATCTAACTTATTATAACTATCTGTTTAAATAAATTGAGATCAGTGTATTATTATCATTAAAGGGATGAACAATGTTTCTATAATTTAGATTAATCTAAATATTTAAAGTACAAAATCAAGAAAAAAAACACTAAGGAATACAGAAAAGAAAAGAATAAAAAAATAAAGGATAAATTATGCATAAATATACGTCTATAATTTACTTTTCTCTTTCAAGTGTTTGGTTCCAAACACATTTTCTACACCAACATCCACATCTCTCCTTTGTTGGACAATTTTATAAATAAAAATGGTCAAAGTAGATTTAATTCTGCAGGCGTTGGGATTTAAATAAAAACATTTTTTAAGCATAAAGTCTAAAATTTGATGTATTACAAAAATATTATAAAATAATGAAGCCAAAAAAACCAAATATATAGGAAAAATGTATGAAGGTTTAACTGGATGGATAACAGACAGGTAAATAACTCAATGAATGGATGAATAATTACATAGTTTAATTTATAAATAATAGGTGGATAATTGGATGGATAAATAAACATATGGATGAATAAAGTTTCACTGAATTCAAACTTATTTCCTCCTTTAACATCAGATTTTTTTCTCACTCTAATTCTGACCAAATTTTGCTCTATTTTTAACTTTCAGAAAACATTTCTTCCTTTTAAGGACAAAACGACATGCAGAGGGTTTTAAACGTCTCACGTTCAGAAACTCGGCGTGTCGCGCTGTGGACTAGGTGTGCGGCGGAGCGGCGGGACACGTCTGACTGTGTCTGTACGCCATGATGAAACCCGACGACTGGTGCCACCAGTAGAACATCAGAACCAGCAGCAGGTGCCACACCTGGTGGCTGGAGCCCAGGTAGTTCAGTTGACCTGAGGGGGAATAAAAAACGTGATTCAAGGGCATAACATTACAAGAACCGCTTTTTTCCTCGCAATAAATTGGCAAATACAACAACTACAACTTTAAAACTGGACATGAACACCTTTAATAATCCAAATGTTTCTATGTTATTAAGTCTTGGTGCAGAAACTGGTTGAAAATCGATCTGTTGTCTATAATTTGAGAAGTAGAGATGGGACTGCACAGGAAATCGGCTCTTCATTCAGACGCAAACAATAAAAAGATACAATCAAAACTCAGATCTCATTATAGTAACACAAAAAAGTCCAAATAGTTTGGATGCATTTATTTATTTCCTTCTTTCGGAAAGTTTCTGTTCAATTAAGAAACGGAAGAAAAGATGAAAAGTCCATTTTAATCTGTTTTGCTTTTTCATTTTAAACATAAGTTTGTGGTTGATTAAAAAAACCTTCAGATATCTTTCTAATGTGACTGACTTACATGGAACAGCGGTACAAAAACAGGATAAGACTTTTAATATTCAACTAGTCAGTACAAAAACTGAATACTTAAAGTATTGTGAGACAATGTGACAAAGTTACGGGTGCACCAACTGCCGATTACCTATCTGTAAAAAGCCCAACCAGCTGACTGTGATTTTTCTGCCTGAAATGTTGCTAAATGTAGCAAGAAAGCCATTGAGTTGGTAACAGTTTGTTAAATGCAAACATGCAGAAATGAGCTGATTGGCCAGTCTGTCAATCAAACCTCTGGCAGAAGAGGATAGAGGTTGAATAAGATCAGCTTCATATGCAAGTGTCAGGCGATGACTGACCTCCCAAAAATTAAGGAATTCTGCATCCATAAATCTGTTCGTCGCTAGAGGTGAAGTGAAACTACTGAGTGGACTCACCTGGGAAATATCGCTCCGGAACCTTCGAAACATAGAAAATAATTGCCAACGCTGCGATGAAGTACATCCCGAGGATCCGTGGAACAAAATCCTGAAGAGAAACGACAACAAAAGTCAAGAAGAACCACGTCTGAGCAGAAAGAGTGGGTGAAAACCAGAAGAGTTTGTTGGACCTGGACGAGTTGTGAGGAGAATCCTCCGGTGATCCAGATCCAGTGGAGCGTCGGGATGAGGCCGTAGCCGGCCACGGAGCAGAAGATGAGCGAGCGCAGCTGCTTCCACTGCTTACTGAGGTAGAGAGGATGGATCTGGGCGAAGAAGACGGCCAGGATCATGGCCAGGACCGTCACCAGGTAAACCTGCCGCCAGTACTGGAACCAGCACCACAGAGACCGGTCAGAGCCAGAGAAACAAAAATGACTCAACGTTTGACAGGAATTCATTTCCTTTGAACGTTTCCAACCATAAACATGAATGTTTGTGTTTATTGGTGATTCAGGTGGCAGGGAAGTACGGGGTGCTGTTAGAGTCAAAATTAACAGCAATAATTTGGGTTATTTAGAATGTCATAAAAGAAAAACAATGGGGTTTTCTCTCTTCAAACTAAATATTTAAGCTAAATATTTCGCTTCAAACCAACTACTTACTCAGCAAGCTAATTATTTAGTTAGCAAACATAACAGTCATTGCTATTATTGAACATAATAGTACTGGGTGAAAGTAATTAATTACAGCCTAGATTATGTTGTTCTTTCAGCAAATGTTCTTTATAGTCTGTATACTCCAGTTAACGATTAATCGATTACTCAATTAGTTGACAACTATTTCAATAGCTGATTTATTCCAATTTATTGTTTGCAACAAAACCAAACGTGAAAATGTTTTAGAAACTGCTGAAGACTCCATGATCATCACAGAGGATTCCTCTCTTTCTAAACAGAATAAAGTGTTTTATACGTTCATTAATGACTCAGATCTTTATGAGTGAAACAAGCAAATAAAGAGAAACGGAGAATGAAAACTAAGCGTCGTTTGTCTTTCATCTTGGCTCAGTTTCTTCCTTGCATGTGTTAAGAAATCTCTCCCACTGTTTGAGCCGTTATCACAGATCTGCGGCGAACCTGTCCCTGGATCTGCGCTTGGTATTTAAACTTCTATAAGTAGCGGCTGAAAAGTCTGGACAGCCTCGTCTCCGTCCCTTCTGTCCGCCTGTGTGGATGCAGGCCTCCGTCCAGTCACACGTCCTCGTGCGACGAGTCCTGCTGAATTTCACAGTGAATAAATTTGCACCCGGAACAAGGCCCCCGGCTCGGCCGCAGCCAAATTCTTCTTTTCTTTTTCTCCTCCTCCTCCTCATCACAGATCTCCAAATCTGCATCCCTCAAAAGACTAGGACGAGACAAGAGTTTGACTGGCTAAATATAAAAATCTGTTTTTCTTCAGGGACTTGGCTTGCCACTGGAGTGGAGCCACCCAGAAGCGAAGCCTCCATCTTGGCGTGGACGGAGGAGGAGGCGGCGGCGGCGGTGGGGGGACGAGGGGCTCTGTTTTTGCCGCCGAGGCTCCTGGACTTGCGAGCGTCATATGGTGAGGAACAGGAGTGACGGACCGCTCCGTGAACGCCGCCATCTGGTTTGGTCTGGAGCAGATTTCAGCCCAGTTCTGGGGGCAAAATAACCCGGCGCTTCCAATATGCGGGGGAAAGCGAGCGTCCCGGAGCGGAGCCAAGCGTTTCAGGGACAAAAAAAATAAAAAAATTAAATAAAACGGCAGTAGCGGCGATGATGGTGATGATGATGACGGTGGGCGGCTGGAATGAGGAGCTTGTGTCATCGGAGGCTGTTTTCCAACCGGATCAGAGCGGCGAAGGTGTTGTGCTGCTTATTCACCAGGAACAATGAGTCAAAGAGCGAAGCCAGGCTGAGGCGCTCGCTTTGTTCAATAACTGTTCCTCAGGCCGCCGCCGCCATGATGCAACAATTCACAGCAAAAACATAAATAAATCAAATGCTCCTTTTATCGTCCGATTGTTTCATTTTATACTTAAAACAGTAAATTCATTTAATCCGGAAATAAAATTAGACTTTTTTCCATATCAGATGCAATTTTAATAATTTTTTTCTTTTAAAAAAGTAAAAATGACACAAAAATAATTTCACACGGTGGCTTTTATTTCAATTATTCCATCAGTGTTAGCGACAGGCTAAAAGATTTTTTGTTTGATTAGAAGAATAAAGTTGTAATTTTAGCAGAAAAGAGTCTTAAAATTAAAAGAAAAATTTTATTTTTTATATAGGTATTTCTGTAAGCATGAAGTAATATTTGTAAAATTTACACCAAAGTTTAACTTTAAAAGATGCCCATATTTCTCATTTTAATTATTTGCATTCTTTTGTGGATTTCTCATGAAATTATGACTTTATTCTCCTAATATTACGACTCTATTCTTGTAATTGTGGTTCTTGGGGTTGTGATGTGATTCACTTCACTGATGCAGATTTCTTTCTTAATTTCAAAATTATAATTTTCAGCCATTATTTACGTTCAGATTTAGTGCATCTGCCTCTTTTGGTGCAGATTTAAGATGCAAGTCTCACATCAGCAACGTAAAAGTTGAATTAAAAGCAACACAACAGTTCAGACTGTAAACGCTTTGACAAAAATTGGAAGTTTGAGCCATAAATCTTGTTTTTTTGGGTGAAAAGCTCAGAATAAAAAAAAAAAACAGTGCTAAATTGATTTAAAGCGTTTCTGTTTCCAAGCCAAATATAAATGCCCTGAATAACAAATTTATTTGCCCCAGAACAGCTCACTTAAATGAACCAATAGCTTCGCTAGCTCTGCCAAACATGTAAACAGCTTTTGTTCTAAAACGCTTCATTTGTAAGCAAATGTGGAAAATGCCAATGAAAAGCTAAATGACAAAAAAATTGAACACAAACACCAGAAATCAATCGGGGATGAACTTACATTGTTACAGTAGAAAGTGTAAAACACTCCTGGAACGTAGCATCCCAGAATGCCGATGGAAACGCCGGCGTAGTCCAGCGCCATCCAGCGGCGGCTGGTCTTCTCCGAGCGGTGGCAGCAGAACAGGTGGTAACCCACGGAGCAGAGCATGCACAGCTGAGGGTGGAAACGCAGCTCCATCAGGAATTAAAGACACATTTCATTATCCAGACCAGATCCAGGCAGATTTCAGGAACAGGATTCAGTTTAATTTGCTAAGAACATCCAGCAGAACTTTGCACTGATGTCGGTTCGTAATCGCTCAGATTAAGGCGACAGCAGTTGCAGTGAATGATATTTGGCTCATCCTGAATCATCATATTGTAAAAACTGAGCAGGAAAACATGATGCGGAGGTTTAACTTTTTCTACTTGTTTTTAAAAATGCAACCAGAAACAATTCAGCAGACATGAAGAGGAAAATCAAAGCTGCTTCTGTCAGTTCTATGGATGTTAAACTCAAAATATACAACAGATTTCAATCATTTCTGATGATCAGTTGATTGGAGAATCACTACTAATAATACTGATCAAAATCATCCATTTGTTTTTCTTTGATTGATCAACAAATAAAAATGGCTGACGTTTTCATTTTCCAAAGCACATGTAATACATTTTCATAATTTACTCTGTTTTCACTTTTTAGGCTTGGTAATGTATTTAGATTCTCTCTATCGATGGAGATCGATCGGTTAATTGACAGTTTTGCCTTCACATAACTGAATCATTAGCTGCGTTTCTATTACAAATGTGTGCAAATCTATTTTGAAATACAAATTCACTCTTGTGTTTATATTAAATAAGGAACAAATATGAACAAGTTTGTTTGAGTCATTAAAAATCATCACCCTCCTCCTACTTCCTGTCGCCTTCTTTGTCATTTCTGCCAGTAGTAACATCTGTTTGTTGATCATGTTACTTGTGGAAAAAAAAGTGTTTCAGTTTTACAAAATATAATTTTCTTTTGATAAAAACCACCTCATCCAAACTTTCTAAACTGATGTGTTTCAATTAAGCCAACTCATTTTTAAAATTCTAATTTGTGCAATTTTGCAGTGAATGGAAGTGAAATCTTTCACTTTAACAATTCAGAAGTTCCTTTAACTGAAGGTTCTGACTCGGCATCCCACCTGGAAGCAGAACAGCCCGATGGAGTAGATGACATAATCCTCCCTGGAGGCATTGATGGAGGGCAGCACTGACGCCATGTTGTACACGCCGACGCAGAAGAAGAGCAGGAAGCCCAACAGATGGCTCCAGATATTCACTGTCTCATTGGATAGGATGAAGAGGCTGCACACAAACCATTGCTCCATTGTAGTTTTCCAAGTTTAAAGCACCAAGAAGTATTTTATCCTGGTTTACACCACACTTTGAGCAACGCCTCACCTCTTGATGCACAACCTGGATGGCAGGTAGGCTCTGTATCCGTCGGTGATGTATGGATTTTCTCTCAGGAAAACCGGGATCTGTTCGTACGTGTACAGTCTGATGCCTCTGGGCACCAGTACAGGCCAGTACTGGTAGCCTCCCAGCTCGATGTAATGTGCAGTTTGGGCATTTTTCTGGGGCTTCTGGGACATTGCAGAGCTTGGTGAATCAGTCTTAAACTGACTTGAAGCTGAAAGTAAAAAAAAAAAAAAATGCCAAAAAATATATATTAAGGTTAAAGCAAATGTCAATTTTAAGCAAACTAAGCAAAACTGCCCAGATGGGACAATATGCTGATGACGGCATTATGTACATGACCTTTTTGTCCACTTATTAGAAGTTTTCAGCACTAGCGTTTATCATTGAGACCACAATGGTCCATATTGTATCTTTCATAAAGAAATGAATAATTTCCATCAGATTTGTACAATATCATCACACCAGACTTTTTGGAATGCAACATTATTATTCATTCAGTATGAGGATGCTTACCCAATGATGAAAAAAAAAAACTTTAAAAATCTCAGCTGTGTGGGTCTATTCTTTCACTTCCAATATTGATATCCGACAGCTCTGAACTGACATTTTTAATAACTCTGCACCAGTAAACTGCACTTAAATAAACCAATAGCTTCACAAAGTTAGTCAAACATGTAAAAATAACTTTAATTTGTTCAATCAGCGAGTTGTTCTTCAGCGCAAACAGAGCGTCTGCATAAGCAGAATGAAATTATGTAATATTTAGTCATTTAGGCTGGAAATGCATGGCAGCCTGGCTTAGCTGGAGATCAAATAGTGTAAGTTACAGGTTCAAATGTGTAAAATGTAGATGCTTTACATACGTCAAGCAAACATACGTTAATTTTACAGCATTATTTGCACATATTTAGACAACAGACACATTGGATGTGAATTTACTAAAATCTGCAGGAAAATATTTAGATGTTTATGGCGTTTTTAAAGGCTCCACTATAATTGCATGATTTCGCTTTAATTACTTTTTTTACCTATACTTTTAAGAGTAAAGAAAATGGGTTTATAAATATTGCATATATTATGCTGCACGTCTGAATACGATTACGTAAAGCCAACCTCTGTGCTTCTTAACGATTATAAAGTTTCAGCACAATAAAACGTTTGCTTTTCACAATTTTACAAGCCGAATGTTTGTTAAGCATCAAATAAGCTCAGATTAAATTCAATTTGAGTGTTATAATGTAAAATGTAGCTTTTTAATCAAATTAATCTAAAATCGGTGGGATTTTCCAACAGGTTTGGTGTTTAGTGGCTAACAAGAGCTAACTAGGCTAGTTAGCATTTCGCTTTGTTTACAGTTCATAACTAAAAAATAAACTTACCTTTTAACTTGGTGTATTTGTAGTTTGAGCCATTTTGTGGCTTAAAATACGAACTACGCATTTGTATTGATTTATGAGCATTAAATTAAACATACATAAAAAAGGGTATATAAAATTATTCACATCTTCACTTACGAAGACGTCATCGGAATTAAAGGACCCCTTCAGCTTGTCCAAACACTGCCTGAATTGAAAACATCGACCATTTGCAACTGAAGAAAAAGAAAGGTTTTGCCTGAAGAGAAATCTTAACTACAATTTTCAAGAAGAATAAAACCCCGGATATTTTAGATACAATTTTAAAAACAATGATACACAATGTTAATCTTTTTCTTTTTACACTATATTCAATAAAAGTAAGACTTTATTTACAGAGCCCCTCATACTACTAAATACAACTCACAAACTATGCAAATTTAACTTTTACGTACTTAAAAATTACGTAAGAAAAATGTACACATTCAGTGCTTTACAGAAGCATTATTGACAGGCAACCTACAAACTTGCATTAAAATTGTGACAACCCAAAAGGGTTAAAAATAAAAACTTTTGTGGCTGTTTTACAAACAACATCAAGAATGTTATTTGCACACATAAAATGCATATTTGCATTCAGCCATGAATTATTAGTATTTTGTAGAACAGCATTTTGTAACAGTTTGTTGGACTTCATTTCCACATTGTTGTCCTGCTAACAGATAAACAGAAAAGTGTTTGCTTTTTTAAATGTTTTTTATTTGAGTTTGTATACACTTTTATGTCGAATTAAATCACATCATTCAAAACACGTCTTGGAATCCCAATACATACATAACATGGGATGTATTATACAACATTCATATGTCGCACGTTTTTTGTACTTCCATTTGGGTCTCAATTGCTATGACAAGCACTTAATGAAAAAAAAAGCAATAAACAAACACACAGCCGTGTTTTTGTCAATACTCTAAGTAAATATTTTATGGCGTCCGTTACCTGTTTCAGAAACAGCAGGCACTGTTCTATCCTTTTATTTAGCAATCCAATCTGAGCTCCAGCATGTTTGGTCAGCTGTCTTTACCACTCTATGCACTGTACAATAGCATATTAGGAACATTGATATGAAAAAGGCAAAGTTCTGGGAATAAAACAACTCAGAAATCATTTTTAAAAAAGCATTTCTGAGCTTGAAATGTCAATTTGGTGAAAAAAAAAAATCCTAATTTTTAATTAATCTCAGGAATTTTCTAAAAAAATGAAATGTGGAAATTTCTGAGTTTAAAAAGTCAAAGATTTACTCAAAAACTGCAAAATTTGAAATGAATCTAAAAATGTTCTAAAAAAAAAAAACATGGAAATTCTTCACTTTAAAAAGTCAAAATTTTACTTTTGAAAAAAAAAAGTTTTAATCAATCTCAGACATTTCCTATAAAATTTTAAAAAGTCTTAAAACTTTCAACATTTAGAGCATAGAAATCTACAAATTTTTTCTAAAAATTTCGTCCAGTGTCAGGCAACATGCAAAAAAGTTTTTTTTTAGCAGAAATGTATCCCTGCTTTCTTCTCTCTGCAATGACCATAACATGCAATTGTATGTTGCACAGTCTCTGTGTAAATAAATAAATGCGGTAAAAGTGGTTCAAGAAGAAGAAAATAGGCCTCTACTCAAGTGGAAAACACCCAAAGTAAAATGAAATAGTTTTACAACATATTCTGGCTGCTTGGAAGACAAACACACAGACATAAGAGGTAGCTGAAGTGACTGGCTGCTCTCGGGCTCCGGTTCCTCGTCTTACACCTCCCCATCGCAGACTGTCACCAGGGATCCTCATCAGAGCCAGAGTCCTCCGCAGACCTCTCAGGTGTGAGGGATGTTGGTGGATTCCCTCCCGAGGGAAGTCACACTCGCTGCTCCCTCGGCTGTTTACACCTCCACTTTAATTGCCTCGTTCTCAAGTGGAAGTGTGTTCTTCATTATCACTTCTAATACACCTCTCAGCACATCCACTCTGGCAAAGTGTCAGCTGCCACGCCAAGTTAAGACTGGAACTCGTGCACGCAGGGGCAAGTAATAGAAATCCTCCGCGAACGAAATTAATTGATTTTATAGGACCGCAGCCTGCAGTAATTTGTAACAAATGCAGAGAAGGAAAACTCGATCATTTTAGATACTAAAAGCCAAGGTCATTATAGTTAATTAACACTAACAACATAACAAAAATTTCAATTGAGAAAGCGCTTTGTCAGCTGAAATCATAATTAGGAAAACGCTAACTAACTGGAATTATATTGTGCGTTTATAAAACTAATTATAACATGTTGAAATTATAGATATTATTCCCCTCAACCTTTTGTATTAGAGTTTCGACCTGAGTTTATATCAACTGTTGGCAAATCACGGCACTCCTAATCATCATTTACGCTTGTTCACAAAATGGCGACAGCAAAAGTTAAGAGAAAACTCCAGAACCAACATATATTTTTAGAAAATTGCATTTTCATTACCCAACCATTGTACACACAAATACAATATTTAGACCTTTTTTTTCTTTAACTCTGCACCTAAAAATTAGCCAAAGTATGATAAAACTAACTCATAAAAACTAAACATAAACCATATTTAACTATTAATTAAATAAAAACTAGAAAACACAAACCAAAAACTGATTAAAACTGAATTATACAAGAAGTCCCAATGAAATATAACTAGACTATATTGACCCTAACCCTGCCTCATATTTAAGCTCTCTGAGGTTAAGAAAATTGTTTGACTGGCAAGTCGCTCTGATCCGTATTTCTCAGTATTTATCCTTTCTTCTTGTCTCATCTCTATTCCAGTAACAAATCTGATTGCTGCTCCTTTCAAACAGACATTGTGAACTCAATTATTGCTTTGCAAACTGCTCACTTTCTGCACGTTTTCATCCCCAACACTAAAAACAAATGTGTTTTAATTGCAGCTGGCTGTCTGTCCAATCCAAACAAGGCGCCATTAGACGGGTATAAATGGAGGCAGACAAGCCTCCAGGCTACCGACGTCCTTTGGGACTGTCAGGGTCATCAGCTGAACACAACGCCACACTGGTGCGCTCCTCTTTCACAGTTAAAGGCCCACGCTGCGATATTAAACGCAGTGGATGTCGTGCATCTTCTCACAGATGTTAGAGTCACATTGAGTTGGCTGCACATTGCAGCAAAGAGCAGACATTAAACATGACAGAAGTGGCACTGCATACTATTTTCAAACCTTTTCAGCTGCAAGTTTTAGTTTTTTATTTTCTCATTTGGAGCAAAAATGCTTCAGTGTTGCTCTATTACACGTCCAGGTCAGTTTAAATAGTATAAGACAGGCTAGAGTGCCAGTTTTTAAGTTGATCACTAAAATAATCATTGGCTGCAACCCTGAGCAAGCAGGTGGCGACAGTGGACAGGACTGACTCCAGCAGATCCAGCCTGAGTACAGAGGTAAGCATCGGCTTGAGAAACTAAAGATCGATACTTTAGTTAAAAAGCTGTGTTCTGCAGTCGGGCCTTTTGCAAAGTGAAAGCAGCGTCGCCGAGGCGCTCGTCAGCAGCCGGCTGCTCTCATTGGCTTTATTTATAGTCTGCGCCACGAGACATCTGCTGGAGACGAGACTCTGTCCTCTGTGTCCACACTGAGCTTGTCAGTGTTTTGTTTTTTTTTCCTCTGAGGACCCCGGCCAGAACAGAGGCCTCCTCTAGCAGGACCAGCGTCCTCTCCGGTCGCTCTCTCCACGGATCTGATTAGCAGGACCGGAAGACAGAGGGAGGCTTCACAGTTTGTCGCGTCCCGCGTGTTAGCCGATGTTTACTCGATCTGAGAGCTGTTGTTTGTTTGGTGTCTTCAGTCTGCTTGTCGCTCGCCACTATTTCAGGACTCTGACACTTGGATGTGGCTTGACAACCTCCTGATGCGGCCTCGCCTTCCTCCTCCTCCTCCTGCTCCTCCTCCTTTATGCCTCAGTGTCACACAGAGTTTCTCTTCCTCTCCCGTTCTCTCCTCTTCGCATCAAGGACCGCGCTCCGGGCCATGACACAAAACGCTGCGGACAGCTCTTTGCTCTTCCCGCAGAGTGGGGGGTGAACTCAGTCTGCCGCAGAGAGACGAGGAAGAGGAGGAGGAGTGTGAAAATATTCTGCTGATGTGTTCCTGAAAAGGACCGCCCTGAGAAACGCAACATTTAGAAACAGAAATCACCTGCTGAGGAAATAATGCAAAGATATGCAGATGTTTGGCAAGAAAAGATGCAACAAAACAACGTGATCCTTTATCGCAACAACGTCTGGAACAATTTATCGTCCAGGACAATTAGGTTTTGAAAAGGACGTTTTTCATCAAACGCCTGTCCTTTGAGAATCACTTGAAGCCAAACGGATTCAGTTTGACGTCAATATCTGAAACAAATCAGGAATTTGGCAACTTAAATCTATAACTATCAACTCGTATGACCATGAAAGTCGGAGTTGTACTACAAGTTTGTAAAAACACTAATTTCTTCACTAACGTACCAATTTAATGTTCAAAGATTATTTTTTCTCTCCTCTTTTGCAATTTTACTGTTAACACAATTAGTAAGACTTTGTGTAAAGTTTCATTAAGGTGCTGATTTGAAAGAACCAACATGGCAAATCTGACCATGAATATTTGCAGCGTATACTGGATGTGAAACAAACGACACAGGAAATTGTTTCAAGTAAATATTTCCTTAATATTGATGAAGTACTAGTTCCACTGGCAGATCACTCAACTTGTGACTTAGGAAAAATATGCTGCATTAAGTGAAACAATTTGCCAGTTTAACTTGTACTTTTAATTAAAGAACTCATTACCAATGTAAAAGAAGCTGAATGGGTGAGAAAATCAAATGCTCTTTGAAACATTGTGGTTTAAATTTGAACCTTATCTGAGATTTACTTTTGATGGCTTCTCTTTTTGAAAGGACTGACGAGTTTCTGTCAAATAACCCCAGAGTTTAAAGTTGGAAACTCTCATTATGTTTCTGATCACATTTTCATAAAACTCTACAGACACATAATTTCATTCAAACTTCATTTTTTGCAGATGGCTTGCGGTCTTTATTTGCTTGAAACTTACATGAGATGAATGAAGTCATGCTGTGGGCTTCCCTTGTCTGAGTGACT